GCACTTGCTTTCCTTTAATGTCGCGCGATCTATCAACTCTTTAACCGTCGTGCTGTCCGGGGCAACATATGTGCAGACAACGTCGTCTTGTTAGTTCGCCCGTATATTGCTGTTCTTGTACACCGAAGTTGTGTGTTTAGAAAGAGTGTTTAACGATTTAGAATACTTGTTACTCTACTATGGGAAAGCAGAAAGCCGCCCCAGACCAATGGTGTGAACAAAGACTAGATGATGCCTAGAAAGAGTGTTGACGATTTCGGGTACTGCCTACTTGACTATTGGAAAGCATTGAGCCACCCCAACAATGGCGTTATAAAAAGTGTTTAACGATTTAGAGTGTTGGGTATTTTGCTGTACGTAGAGTAGTCAACGACATAGAGTACTAGTACTCTACGATGGGAGAGCATAAAGCCGTCCTGTGAGCATCGCACTTGATGAGGCCATGTTGACTGTGTACTATGGGATAGCAGCAGGACGTTCCTGTTCACGACAATACTGTAAATTGACTGCGCAGATTCAGTAGCAGAGAAGCATGCGCTCGAGACGCCCCCACATATGTGGTTCCCAGCCACATATGTGGGGGCGTCAACCATATATGGCTGGGAACCATATATGGTTGGGAACCATATATGGTTCCCAGCCATATATGGTTCCCAGCCATATATGGTTCCCAGCCATATATGGTTTCCAGCCTTATATGATTTCAAGCCTTATATGATTTCAAGCCTTATATGATTTCAAGCCTTATGGTTTCAAGCCTTATATGGTTTCAAGCCTTATATGGTCTCAGGCCATATATGATCCCAAGGGAAGCGCGTGGAATGGCCCTTCAGCACAGCCACAACGCACGTGCCGGGACCCCTGCCGCACGCAAGCGGGGGATAAATAAGCCAATTGGCGACGCTCTTTCACCCTCCGCACAGCCGCAACGTGCGTTGCGGCTGTGCGGGAAGCGCGTGGAAGGGCCCTTAGTCTGCCTAACCACAAAAGAAGGTTGAGAAAGAGAGAAGGAGAGATATAAAGAGGAAGGCCCGGGGGATAACCAGGTATTATCATCCGGTTATATATAGAATGCTTCCATAAATCACAGCTGACTGTGGCATATGAGCTATTTTCCGGACAAACAAACGCGTTGACGCTGGTGCTGTGGGCCGGCTTGACTATACGTGTAACTTTCACTGCTATTAACTTCAAGTCACTGTCTCAATAATGTGCGCTACATACGGGTTCCGTATAGCGGCGCTGACTGTTCGTGCAATCGCCTCTTTGCAATTAACTTCAGAAAATACCGAGTTCGCCTTTTCTGCTATACTGTCTTCGTGTTACATGCTACATATGGTTCGTAATCTTCACATCTGTGGCTTTAAACTTTCTCCGCGAACGCTCGTATAGGTTGCGGCACCACCGGTGCTCGTCGGTTTGTCGTATACGCATGGTTGTGTTATATATGAATAGAAATGCTTGCACTGATGGGCGTGCCAAAGTGCATGGTCATCGCACAAATTGTGTGCACACGGTATCTTGGATCTGTATCGCAGCGCTGGCTGGCGTTTATTGCATACCACTTTTGAAGCGGCGGGGAGTGTTCGGGGCGTTAGCGTGCAGATGGCGAGTGAACTGTAACGACTGCGAAGAACCAACGACGTTGATGCGTAGAGTGGAAGCTGATACAGATGTATACGTATCCTTGTCCATAACGCCGATTAGACTCTTGTGTGGGGTTTCGGAAGGCTTTTACGACGAAAGCCTGGGTGCGGTGACGTTAGGCAGGCTTCATGCTCAAACCGATCATTACGGCTTCATACCTCTGAGGTGGACCGCACCCTTGTTGAGTCCACGTTGCCTCACACGTGTTGTATGCGTAAGCGTGCATCCTTACCCGTGTTTGCGTGCGTACACAGAAATGCACGTCGGTCGCGAGATTGCACTAGTTGTAATTTCCCTTTGATTCTCAGAAAGGTTTGATGTAGAGATCACTGCGAACACAATTTCGGCCATCATTGCAGGAAAGCCATGCACAGGATGATTTATTATACTCTATATTTAATTGCTTCCTACGTTGTCTTAGCTCCAGTGTATGATCGATACAGCAAGATTTTGAAACACTCCTCTGCAGTTGCGCTCGTAGTTAAGGCTGCTATGTATTTATGCCTGGCACACTGGTAACTGATAGTCGCTGAGTCTGCATGAAGTTGTCGGGTTCGGAATTTCCTCTTAAGGCCTTGAAGTGAGGAGAAACTGTTGAACTATTAAATAAGTGATGATCCACAAAGCCTGTGAACTTCTGCCTTGTCCGTACATCTTGCGATGTTTTTTTTATAGACGGTTTCAAGGTCACAAGGTTTGTACCCAAAAAAACTTCCCGTCACCTCATTTACAAGCTCCTAACATTGAAACTGAAAGCGCGTTTTCAAGTTTTTTTAGTAGGATAAGGAAAGTCTATCTTTAGCTTTTAGGATTATAGGAACGTGCACAAAGTTCCAGGCAATCTTTTTCAATTTTTATGGGGTTCAAAAGAACATTTATTTTAATATTGCCAAACAAAGCAAGAAAAGTGTAGAAAATGAGTGGTCCATTTTATAAAGCTCTTCTTGCTCACCGATGCTATTAAGGCACATCGGTGCACCGTCGCGGTGGTCAAGTGTCTAAGGTACTCGGCTGCTGACCCACAGGTCGCGGGATATAATCCCGGCTGCGGCGGCTGCATTTTCGATGGAGGTGAAAATGCTGTAAGGCCGTGTGCTCAGATGTTGATGCACGTTCATGAACCCCAGGGGGTCGAAATTTCTGGAGCCCTCCACTATGGCGTCTTTCATAATCATGTGGTGGTTTTGGGGCCTTAAACCCCACACATCGGTGGACGAAACCGGATGTCATCAAGAGCCTGTGTTTGTAAACAATGAAAGGTTCTACACTGAAACTCCAACGAACGTGTACACTTTCGAGCTCAGCTTAGGTGGGCTATTGAAAGCTGATATTTGATTCACTCTGTCCGTATTCAGAGATAAATACAGAGACCTAATATAATGGCTGCGGACGTATGCACACATTTTTAGCTCTGACATAGCCATATGAAAATCTAAATTCTCGAATAGCGTGTATATTCATTGCTTTCGCACTGGGAATGTGTAGAATATAACGTCAGGAGTCGCTGGTAACGTAGCCCCGTCGCATGGGCGCTTCGTTCTGCTCATCGGATTTTATTCCTATTGAGAAAAGAGCATTGGCTTCACCGCAGGCCGTGGAGTATAGAACGGAAAGCGCGCGTTCGGAGCGCGCCACCATTTCATGTGATCAATTGCGAAATACAGTGCAACACCGCACCGGAACGTGTCGCCACAATACTTGTGACGTCACGACCTCTCTCGCTTCACACCTACTGGGCCGTATCGGTTTCCTTGGAAGCCCCTGTCGGGGCTCCTTTCTGCGATTATTATTGGCCTGAGGAAATTTGGCTCCGCCCCGTGGTGGGCCCCCTCTTTCGCACTCGCCAAGCGGCTTCACCGCAAGACACCCACAGCGCCCGGTCGACGGTGTCGGGCATTATTTTTTTCCTTTCTCGCCTGGAAAAAGCCGCCAATGTTGACGCCTTTGGGTGGCGCGTCGCCATTGGCCGGGACGCAGGCCGTTTCCATGACAACGGCCGTCTGGGTTCGGGAAGCGGGGAGGAACATTGTTCGGAGCAGCTATCGGGAAAGAGGGAGAGAGGCGGGTTTTTCGGGGGATGGTGGGGATGTGGGAGAGGGTGAATTTGGGGAGCTGAGAAGCGGTGCGCTGCTACAGCCGCCGTGGAGGTGGAAGGGGATGAAGCAACCGAGGAAGGTGTTGTTCGAGCCAGGCGCTTTTCTCCCCTGTCAGACGCACGTAGCAACAGCTGCAGCTTTCACAGGGTTCCACGCCCTGACTCGTTCCCACGGCTGGCAACACACAAAGGGAGGGTGCGCACCCGCGTTTGCGCTATCGCTCGCGTACGCCTTAGTGCGCGCCAGGCCAAACAGTTCCTATAGCCAACCGCGCTAGCGCCCGCCTGCTCCTTTTTCTTGCGGATGAATCGAACAATGCTGACAGCGGGGCAGCGCTGGCGGGTCGTGCAGAGAGATGGTTGCATGAAAGGCCTCGCTCGGGATACTGCTTGGAAAAACAGCCCAGAGCCGGAAAGGAGGAACGGGACAGAGGTTCTGTAGCTGGGTGGGGAGCGAATAGGGAAAAAAACGCCGGGGCTCAGAGGGCGCTGTCGGAGGATATCAAGCGAGAAATATATAGATAACGAAATAAAGGAAGACGAGGAAAGAGGAGACAGATCGCCGAACTGAAGCGACGGCCACTGCTTGTTTCTGCTAGAATGGCTGGCTACCGCCATCCGTCGGAGCAGCAGGGCATCCAGCCGCGCACGCCTCCTCTATCGCCGCCGGTGCGCGGCTCGCGGTTACCGGCTTTCATACGGGCTTAATTTGAGCCGCAGGGCGTATATATAAAAGAATGAGAAGATGTGCCAGCGTATGGTGTGATTTTTTTCTTTCGTTCTTTGCATCTCGTTCGTGTAAATCCCCGTGAGTTAGCGTAAGCCTTCGGTTAGCATAGAAGGGTACAAATTATTAGTAAAAGTATTGACGCAATGGTTCGTTTGAAACAGATATGAGAACAAGACATCCGTGCTCGTCCGGAAGCGTTGAAGTACAAGAAGTGCTGCTAACGTTGCAAGCAATGCCCGTCATTAAACGGTGTACATTGCAAGTTTTTTCGCCTATAAGTGGTTACGTATGACGGTCATGCAGTCATATATCGGTCTTTTGTTACACCCCGCGTATATCCTTGTTGAATGCTCCGCGTATACAGCAGAGATTCATGCGAACCACTTCCGCCCTTCATTGTATGATATCCTCAACAATGATTCGTACCTTTACTGTGCCTACGAGAGAGCAGATCCCAACAATTGCTGCGTTCAGCGCTTGGCGAAGAGCTATCGGTGCTTATATCCTCCTTTCTTCTTGTTCCTCCAGGCGGATGTTCCCGCCCTATAAAGGTCCGGGTGACGGGTCTGGACAAGAAGGCCAAGTACATCATGCTCATGGACATAGTGGCCGCGGACGACTGCCGGTACAAGTTCCAAAACCGGAGGTGGGTCGTCGCTGGCAAAGCCGACCCCGAGATGCCCAAGCGGATGTACATTCACCCGGATTCGCCGTCTACGGGTGAACAGTGGATGCAGAAGGTCGTCTCCTTCCACAAACTCAAGCTCACCAACAACATCTCCGACAAGCATGGCTTTGTAAGTACTCTCCGTTTTCAACTACAGCATTGTCTGAAGTAAGGTCATGTTGAGAAATTCCGTTCATCCTTCATGTTGCGGGAGGCGTTGAGCCTAAAGAGTATTTCTCAGTACGTGTTAGACCATAGGAGAGTCACAGATGGCTACGAGCAAAGCTTTGTCTGAAGACAGCGACCAGAGCCAAAGTTATGTAGTGATGCAACAGTGCCATTTTCATCAGCACGTCCACAAGGCAACAAGATCAGGCCCGTGAACTCGCCCCCTCTTCACCATGTGCATATGTTCTACATACATGCACGTACTACGCGTCAAGTTCAGAGGATAGGTGGAAGTATACAAGGCATTGCGCCTGCGATGAAAATTTGCTTTTAGAAAAAGCACCCTGCATTACCCTATTCGTATGTTCTTCGCTTATAACTCGTTGCCGCAGCAGCCACACGTCCTAATGTATGTGATGCGCTCTTCATAACAGAGCCTTCCCCGTCGCTTTGTGAGATACCGAAGATTTTGAAAAGGCAAGCGCTACACTGTAGGGCCGTCGATTTCCGCTTGACGAAATCTGTCGTGGTGAGATTGCTACATTCATTTTTAAAGAACTGTGTCGAAGGCTGAACATGCATGCCTGAAAGTATCATTGTTAATGCACTGTTTTTCGATTGCGTGGCTATTCCAATATCGCTTTATAATCGAATATATATGCCTGTCCAGCTCCCCGCGGAGCAGGAGAAAGTAGACCAGTTCGGTATGCCGTCACCCGATACGTGACGGTTCATAAGGTGCATCGTCTTCGACCGCGCACATTAGTCAACGAGGAAAAAAAAAATGGCAGCTCTACTAGGACGCGCGTCATGCGAAGTCGGGATGACGACACGAAGCCCCCTTGAAACACCAGCTTGGGTACTACTGCTTTGAGCTCAGCGCGTGACGTTGCTTGATATATACGGTCAACCGGCGACCACTTATCCTGTCGCCAAACTTCTTCTAGGCTTCCGCGCGCTTTCGGCAGAAACGAGCCGCGAGGGAGAGGGAAAGCCGGGAGAAGCCAGCGAAGCAAGCCTTAGCAAGCCCACAGCGCAGCGGCGGCGGTCATTTGTTAGGCGACCCACGAAGCGAAATGTCATCAGGGGCGCCCTCGTTTCCGCAGCGCGCTACATTCGACACTGCAAGCTCGTCGTCGCTTAACGTTCAGAGCCCTCGAAACCCGCCTTCCGACCCCTCCTAGGCTAGCCTGTCTGCTTCAGAGGCCGAGTGTTGTAGAGGAGCGGTCGGGTATCGCTATCGCAATAGTGGCATGCGATCGAGGGCGATCCCGGAAAGCGGGCTTCGCTGCAGTCTTTCCGACGCTGAAACACATCGAGCGTGTACGAAGGAGGAGGAAGGGAAGGCCCTTCCCTAACGACTTGCGCCAGGCGCCGAGTGCTTGCGGCACACAGGACGGCGACGACGCTGCCACAGTTGAGTGCTGCACGTGTATGCTTATATAGCCTTTGTGTGTGTGTGTACCTAATATGTGAAGTATGGCAGCATTGTTTCGAGGAGCCCGTAACGCACAAAGGAAAATCAGTTGAGGCACCCGAGTAGGGACTCGCCGGGCCTGCCAAAGCACAAATGCGATTTCCCTGTTTCCCTGTGTCGAAGGGGAACGGGATAGAAAGAGGGAAAGGACCACTGCTCTCGGGAAATACGAGAGGGCGAAGCCCTCTTGTAGGCGGCGGGAATATTGGCGTCATATATCAAGCGGCCGCCGCCGCCGCTGCCCGCCCGCCTCCCTCCCTACTCCTTGGAGTGGCGCGCGCGCAAGCGCGGGAAAGCTTTCAAGGCGAGGCGCCTTGCTTCTTTTCCTCGAGCGCTCGCCTTCGCGCGGCGCGATCGATGGCGGCGTTACTGCGGCGTCGTCGAGAGCGCCATGTTGGCTGCTCGCCCCAGCGCTGGCCGGTGGCGTGGGGCCACACGGTCATGGCCTGGCGGGATCGATTTGCTCCTTACGCCTTCCTCGGGCGCGCCTCTCGGGCTGGCAGATTTTTCTTCCTCTATCTCTCTCTCTCTTTGGCCGCAGCTGTGCATGAGGCGCGGTGGCCGGGCTCCCGCTTGCCTTTTCCCCCCGACGCCTCTGCACTGAGAACGTCTCGAGGCGAGATGGGCCCTGAGACCAAGGGCGTCGCCACGAGTCGCTCGGGTCGTTGACACCAGAGCAAGGGATTAGCTAAAGCTTGGAACCGGGGAACGACCGTGTGTCAGTGGGAACATGACGAAAACCCATGCCTGTACCAGCCGGCATCATGTCGCTTGCGCAACTCAGTTTTCTGCTAGAATGTATGATGTCCTGCTCAGCTGGCAGTTCTACTACATTATGTCACTTGAAGTAAGTGAGGGGACACGTATAGGCCCCTTTAGTGGTGGTCTTGGGTGTATGTAAACAAGCTGATTAACTCACGTGCGCTCAACGTCCTCTGTACAGATCACGGTGTTATGCTGATGCGCGTGTCTTGGCAGCAAGTAAATTCATGCATGTAAACATCGCGACGGCGATCACACATCGACTTCAGCTGCGCTTGCTGGCCTCGGTTAATTGAGAAAGCCTTATTCTGTTCAGGAACCTCAGCATATAGTTTGAATAATCGTTATCTCTGAGCCAGTATCGAGTGACGAGCAATTGACACCGCATAGTAAGTCGCACAGTATACCAGGTTACACTGTATATCGTCATCATCATCAACAACAAAACAACAACAATGATAATATCGGGCGCTTTACGAGCCAGAATGATTACATGATTATGAAACACTCCGTAGGGGAGGGCTCCGGAAATTTTGACCATCTGTTGATCACGAAGTTACTGTTAACTGATGTTGCACAGTGCTCAGGTCGCTAGCATGATCGCCTCCATCGAAATCCGACCGCCGTCGCTGGCATCGAACCCGCGACCTTCGGAACGGTAGCCACTTTTTATTCAGTGATGAGACATATGTGAACAGGCATCGTCGCTGGATCCATCGTTTCGACAACTGGCCTTGTCTTCCCCAAGGCAACGGACGCATGAACGTACTTACAAGTGTACATGAAGTCACACTCGAACACATTAGTTCTTGCTACAACGCATCGTGGTGAATTGCTGAGCCTCAAGGAGCGCGATTCTTTAATGCCACACCAGGAAGTCACATGAGCAGCCGCGTTTGCGCTGGCAGATAGCGCTTAAACGAAGCTCAGTTGTTCGATTTCCTCCACCCACAGGCGTCATCTTGCATTGTCTCTTGATGCGAGCTCCCGGGTTTTTTGAGGGCATCGTTTCTGGCAGCTCTATAGTTTCCTCGTCCGAGGTGTAATCGATGTCGTTCGCGTTGCGCGCGAGCTTCTTGTCTCACTTACGCGCGCGTAGGATCTATTGGCGTCCGGAATAAATGCTCGAATGCACGCCATACGTGCAACGCGAAGAGATTCTGATGACCGTGCGTATAGCGAAGATGAACGCTGGGAGACGGCGATGGCCTTCATTGAATTGATTTCTGGCGCCGCGAGATCATGATTACATGTAGTCGAGACTCGAAGGGCGGGCTACCCGCGGCAGCACGTTCTCGTTCGAAAATGACGCCTCTGTGTACGAGCCACGTTTCACCTCTGCCATGCTTGCTTGCTTGCTTAACGACGCGATCGCGCGATGATGGACGCGTCGAGTGCTTGCAAGGCTAGATTCTCGCGTTCGCCGATTATACTGCGCGCCTTTAGGGAGTGTACGAGAAAATTACGAGCGAATAATAAAAAAAAGTAAACAAGAAATTCGTACAGACATCGACAAAACACGCGCACCTACATGTACGACCTTGGAACGTGTGACGTGCCCTTTTGCTTCTTTCGTCGGCCTTATTCTCGCGGCAAGGTTCTTTGTCTTTCATGTACGTATACGGGAACGTGCGAATATGCTTGGTAAAAGCCAACGAGGTGACGCCTGTTGGACACTCTCCGCAGCTCGTTACGCGCGTCGTGGGTGTCTGAGTGTGGCTCTGTGTACACTGCTCTCCTCCGTGTACGCGACGTGCGTTGATTAGCGTATGCATGTATACACAACGCGCGTAGCCCGGCGACTGCATGCATAGGAGCCTCAGGTCAACGGAAGCTTGGTCGTCAGGCATGCAGGATGGCTGCGCAAGTGCGTCTGACCGCGAAGTCAAGGTGCGAGAAAAATGGAGATGGTAGAATGCGAAGTCATAAGGGAAAGGCAGGGAGGTTACCGAGAATTCTAGAGAAAAGCAGAAACGATGTCTTTGTTTCGGAGGCCTCTGATCAGACCCCGTCAAGTTTCCCGAGGATGGAGTACACGGGTCTCTTTAACATGGCCGCGTGGTGGAAACCTATGCGGCTTTTCCTTCCAGCGGCCGTATTGTACGATACTGCCAAGTTGTACTCGACCTCCACGCAACTGCTGAGTCTCGAACGGCTCAAGTGAAGATATATTTACGCTCACCGCTCTGCGCAACACTGAGGTTTGCTGGTTGAACCCAAGATGAATGGCTGGAACCACCACGGGGGATCGACCATGAATCGTGCGGCAGTGGGCTTTTGTGGAAAAAAGAGGGGGGGGGGGGGGGGGAATGCCTAAAGATATTTTGTTAGGCAAACAAAAAGATCAGTTGTGCTAACAGTCTATTATAAATTGTTATGAGAAAGGAAGGCATTTGTGTGGCGCTAAAGAAGACGATGCTGCATTGACTGGATATGCAGTGCTGGGAATCGTACAAGTATTCCGTGAGAACACTTCTTTCTTCTCACTTTTCCGGCAAGATTTTCGGTAGAGTTGCGCGACAGGGACGGATGACACGTACTGGTAGAAGCATTTCTCTACAAGACAGCAGAAAAAAAAAATGAAGATAGAGAGAAAAAAAGCTGGAGTTTTGGGTAACAAAGAAGAGTAATAGCTTTCGCTAATAGCACTATCCTTGTTTTCTTCGCAGGGTGTTTCTTACCTGTTCGCCGCGAAAGCTTACTATACCAGCAATAGTTGCATACTCTAAAAATTCATCACTTCTTTTTTTTTTTGGCGTTATCTTTATTGGATCATATCAGTTATTATTTTTAATAACTGGCACTTACAACATGGTGGGAATAGACTACCGAGGAGAGTAGATTCTCCCGCGCAAGTAGCAGGCTGCGCTCTCTCGACTCGCGATCTTCGACCGCGACCCGCGGTCCGAGGTGGCAGAGGAGAGGGGGGAGCGGAGTGTTTCGGAAGACGCCATTGGCCGGCCAGCGGCAGCCATGCGTGCTGCGCACTCCCACAACTTCGCTGGCGAGCATCTCTTCCAACATGGCGGAGCAAGAAGTGTCGGACCCGCGATCGATACTTGCGGCACGTCGAGTCGAGCGTCAAGCGGAGAGACCTCGCAGCCGCCCGAGGCGCTGGAAGAATCGCCCTCCACTGCGACCGCTCTTGGCGTCGGCTTCGCCGCCTGGCATGGAGTGGTTTTCTCGCTATGGGAGGGCAGAGGTGGAGGCGCGCGCCGCGGATACAGGCGCTCGCCCTGTCTGCTGGCTTGGAAGGAAATCTCGGCGCTGCTTCTCGAACCATATTTGGGCAAGGGAAGGGAGGATGTCGAAGGGATGTTTTAAGAGGGACTGTATCCCGAGAGGCTGCAGCCGCGGGTGCCCCTGTTGCCAATCAAAACACTGGCGAACCAATGGGAGTCGGGATGTTACTAAAGGCAAGAAACGTAGCAGAAAATTTAATCGATATAGTTGATATAGTTGATAGATATAGTATTCAACGTTGTAGACAACGCGAAACTGTCCTTGGGCGAGCCTCGCGCTACTTACGTTGATAGACAAATGGGCGTGATGGGAAATGAACAATTTTTTGCGAGTCATGGCTCTGCTCCAACATTATCTACACACCGTGATTGGAAAATGTGACAATGGAAAGGCTACAAGATGGTGGTAACAGCTGCCTATGGAGAAAAAACTAGCGTAGCTGGGCCTTAGAAATACAATAAAACAAAGCGAAGGAGAAAAACAAAGAAATCATTCAGTACGAAAATACTAAAAAAATCCGAATATACTGATTCTTAAGCTTTAAGCTTTGTGGTGGGGCAGTTCAGGGGAGAGGGGGGGGGGGACGTAGGAAAGTTAGAAGGGAAATCTATGTCGATATATTAAGGGCACGCGATCTAAATACAACTAGTAGTCATGATGAGGAAGTGTAGCTGGAATTGGGCATATCCCGCTTTCTCTAAAGCGCGCAAATTTGGTGTGCGCTTTATGTACAACACAACTCATTCATTAAACCAAAAGACGGAACTAGATATCGAGCATGGCAGGGTATATGGAATCACAAATATTTCCGAAGGCCGGATACGTAGGTGGTCACGGCTCAAGCGAAAAGCACTACCGGCCCAGTAACTGCAGACAACGGAGCATATGTAGTGCATCATTGCTCAAGTGAATTTTGTGATGTTTCAGTGCCCACTGGGATACTGAGGCTTATGTCGTTGTGGAATGCGCAGCTGTTAGTAATTCGGATCATAACCGTGAAAGGAACAGAGTTACCCGTGTACACGTGTGTGCAATATTACGTGCCACATTTGTCTTGCTTATAGCGCTAAATAGGCCCAGGAAGCCACAGACCTGCTCGTTTGCTTTTGCTGACTATATAGCTAACACTCTAGCCAAATATAGCTAGCACTTTACCCAGGACCTGGGCGAATAAGAGTGGTCTCGGTACGACTCCTTTCAGTGTCATTACGAACTTAAGCCCGCACGTATACTATGTTTAACTGCATCTGCAAGAGTGCAGTATACGTGGAAGCAGCGCCAGGCTCCAGCCAATATTAAACCGTCGCTACTTTGTGTCTCGTTTCAAGCAGACCATCCTGAACTCGATGCACAAGTACCAGCCGCGCTTCCACCTGGTCCGGGCCAACGACATCCTCAAGCTGCCGTACAGCACCTTCAGGACGTACGTGTTTCCGGAGACTGAGTTCATCGCTGTAACTGCTTACCAAAACGAGAAGGTGCGTACAAGATGTGCTTCGACAAGCCGTCTTGTAGCGTATAGAACGTTTCAGTCACTTCAAGCATGGTGGTGAGGACATACCAAGCATCTACGATGTGAAAAAAAACGATGAAAAGAAAAGAAAAAAAGAAAAAAAGAAAAAAGAAAAAAAAAGAAATTGCGTGCCCTTGCATATGGGTATGGATTGCAGAGTTTGTGAAATGTGCAAGAACAGCATCGAATTTTTTCGAGGTGTGGTGCTGGAGTACGCAGGGTTTAAAAAATTGCATAGAGTGTCAAGACAACTCGTGTCTTGGTCACAAGGAATATAAGTCTCGAATAATAATTCAAAGCAGAGGTCATGAAACGAAAGCTTTGGTCGTGTTGTGCGACCCAGTACAAGTGGGCGAATATAATTTCTACCCAAAGATGGAGATGAAGAAACGATGTTAGCCCTGTCAACGATCGTGAGATATTACTCTAGAAGCCGCAGGAAATCGTTGATGATCTCAATGCCAATCACTTGTTTCGCGCTAGCGGCGAAATTTATTGCAGGGGTCGGAAACTTTCTGACTTCCTGTCACGGTGAGCTTAAAAACGTATGTGTCAAACATAGCTCGTCCACGCGTACACGTCTCACAGTCCGACAGCCACACATGGCGCTGAACAACAACACGCAGAGAGCTTAGTACTGTTCTAGTGGCAACATGTCGTCTGTTCGAAGAGTCGACTGTTTTAAGGAACCGCTAAGCGGTAAACTTATGACAGTTTCGGTTTCACTCGCGGTTTTCACTGGAAGAAGTTTGCAAGCTTTGCAAACAATGTGACTGATGCACCATAATACTGGGCACGCACGTTCTGGACCATCGTACTAATTATGTTGTTTTCTTCTCACACGCAGATTACGCAACTGAAAATCGACAACAACCCGTTTGCGAAGGGCTTTCGAGAAACTGGTGCCGCGAGGAAAGACAAGAAGTGAGTAGCAGGAATGCTTCCTTGGAAACTGATCTCAATAGAGTGTTGTAGTGTTGTCCTAAATGTATGCCCATGTGTAGGCTTTAAATTACACCCTACTATAGCTAACAATCGCTCCCGACATAGATCTAACAGTATTGTTCATAGAGTTATTTTTATATAATCTTTCATTCTGCTTAGCGGGTATTTAACTAAAGGCCTTTCAGCTGATGAAAGTAGAGGACTTGCAAATTACCCAACAGCCAGACGATTCATGTCCCAAGATATATATATAGTAAGAAGAAAAGCAGGGCGGTTAGCCGGAATGCAAGTATCTGGTTTGCTACCCTGCACTGTGGAGAAGGGGAGACAGAGTGCATTCAAGAAGCTAAAAGAACAAAACCATTACAGTGTAGCAACGGCGTTTACCAGTCCGTGGCAATTAAACCGCGGTTTCCGTCTGCCCCTCTCCTCGCGTAGGAAGTACGCGCTGCCTCCGGCCTCCAAGTCACTTCCGGGTGGTGCCCTGGCGCCGAGTGACGTCAGCTGTCCGACCAAGATCGAAGCGGACGACTCGTACTATAGCGACGACGACCGGCGGACGGAGCAATCGCTATCGGCCGACGAGGCGTCGTCGGTGGGACCGCCTGGCGGCGACCTGTCGCCGAGACTGCTCGGCCGCTCGGCCGGCTCGCCTGATCACACCGGCGGCTTCGGGGACTTCTTTCCGTTGGCAGCCGCCGCGGCGGCAGCAGCCACCGGCGGTGGAGGGCCGCACTCGTCGTTCCCGCTGCAGTACCTGTACAGCCAGAGCATGTACCATCAGAGTCTCATGCTGCAGGAGATGCTCATGACGTCGGCGGCCGCGGCCGCAGCGGCAGCCTCCAACAACGCTGCCCCGACTCCGGTGGGTGGACGGCCCGGCACAGCGCCGTTCGGTTTCAACCCTTTCTCGGTGCGCAATCTCCTCATGGCTAACGAGCAGAGCTACCTGAAAACGTCGAACCCTTTCAAGGCAGCCGCCGAAGAACACCTCAAGAGTCAGCTACGATTCTTACCCTACCCGCTGCCGGCGTGGCGGATGCACACTGCGTCGGGGGACACGTCGCCAATTTCTCCGCAATCTCAACCTCTTTCTCAACTTTCTGCCATGACGCAGCCGCCTTCGAGACCAGGGTCCTCCTCCCCGCCCACCTCAAAGAGCTCCGGCGTGATCCCACCTTTTGGAGGTCTTCGGCAGGAGAAGATGTGTTTCCTCAGAGACGGCTCCACTGGAGGGGACGACCCCTCGGAGAGGTCTTCCGCGCCTAGCAGTCCGCTGACGGCGACCTGCGCGACTGTGACTCCACCGACGACGTTGGCGTCCGTGATGATGATGCGGGATCACTGCTCGTCGGCGACTGCGAACACCGCTTTCGAGGACGGTAGAGTGCGCCGTGACTCCGAGGAACTGGTCGACGGCAATGACTGAATGCGACCTTGGTGGGGACCAGGGACTCCCACCTGTGGTGTTGTCGTGACGTGAACCATGACCCCGCTTACCGCAGTGGTGCCTCGTGCGGACGTAGTACGCTGTTTATACGACGCTCGTTACTCCTCTGTGTGTTATAGGCACACGTGTCACGCGAACTTTCCGAGAAGTATGTCGTACTCTCGCGATTTGAGAGAGTGAGTGCGTGTCTGTGTGTGCATAGCTTAATACACTGTGGTTAGAGAGAAGCGGGTTTTACGCATTCTGGCTCTCGAATGATTGGTGTTTTTTAAATTAAATTTTAAGTTCCGGGAGTTTTATCCTCTCTACGCCACCACGAGTGTCGAAATGGCATACGCACACGTTCACGCCATGCCGGAGTAGTGACGTTGCGAGTGTTGTGCTAGTAATAAGATGGCGCGTCGTAAAAGTAAAAAAAAAGCGCGTTATCAGCTCAGAACATTTCGTAATGTTTGAGCAGAATAGCAGCAATCGTTACTATGTAGGGTAGCCTCGTCCCCACCAGTTTCATTTTTTTATTTTCGTTTTTTTTTCACTTCATAGTCGCGTTTGCTGTGAATGCCCTGGGTGACATAAGTGCAGCGATTATTGCACGGGTGATACGCTGCAAACGGCTTTCCTTCTCTGTAGCTAAGTCTATGCGGCTTTGGAGTCTTTGGTCGAGTGTGATAACAACGCAATACAACGAATTGAGTGCGTAATATTAGTTACACACCGCGAAATGCTCCTGCATATCCCCACTGCCTTTGGTCTCCCATGAAAGATCGCTTTTGTGTCCCCCTCCTTTCATATGGACTCGCATTCCTGCCTCCCAGTGAAGTGTTATGTCGCTGATGTGGCTACTCAATGACAGGAGCCGTCGAAGAATAGGTGGCACAAAGCATAAGCGCAACCATATGTAACGAAATTTCGCTGTCATACCGTTGGAAGTAGGACCCCAGTGGAACTAACGTTACTGTTACTGTTAACATTACTGTTAACATTACTGGTGTGGATTTTATTTTATCTTTAGTTTATTTTGCATGTATGGGTTATACACTCGAGGTATATTTATCGCTTATCAGAAAAGAAAAAAAACCCTGTATCAGAAACGACCCGAGTGAAGGAATCCATACAACAGATCAAAATGATCGCTTCCAACCGGTTAACGAGTTCACCAAGGCTCGAAATTCGCGAGAATCTAAAAGATTATCTTTATTTAAACAGCCCACGTTATTTTTTTGAGTACGCTCTAGGTGTCGAAATGAAGAAGTCTGATAGCAACTGGGCAACACCGAAAGGGCCTTCTCTATTTTTTTTTTTTCACAATGGTGATGTGCGACGAAAGTGTACTCCGACAAAGACCGCGCCGAAAGCTGTTGAGGGCATTGTTGCGAAATTTTCATCTACTCTCTTGGACCGCACTTCATTTTATTTCATTCATCGTACCTTCAATGCAGGAGCATTTCAGAGAATTTGGGTATCGAACTATCGTACAATAGAGCTAAGCATTAGAAAAAAATGGAGGCGTAAAAGACCCGTTTACTTAGATTAGGACATTCGTTAAAGAACCCCAGGTGGACTAAATTTTCCGGAACCCCCAACTATGGCGTCCCTCATAGTATGGGTTTGGGGCGTTAAACCCTGTAATTAATATTAGGTCCTAAAGCATATGTTCAATAGAGTTAATAGCTGAGTGAGAGAGAGAGAGAGTGAATGGACATTAAGTGCAGAATCTGCCACCCTCGCAGCACCCCATGCTACATACTGTACATAGAATGTGACGTGAAGTTTTATCACCCGGGGCATCGGCAGCAGTCTTTGTTTGTCCGTGGGATTTATGCAATACTCCGCACATCCGCATCGTGTCGTTCTTCGCGCGAGGCTGGTATAGTCCTGCGTATGCATACCTTGTCTAGTCAACTCTTATATCGACGCACGAGTGAAAGAAGTAATAAAGACACACAGTAATAAAAAAAAAGTGACGCAATGCTAAACGGGAAGTCGAGGCTCAGAATCGCGCGATTTTTCTCGCGCGCGTTTGATGTCCGGAACTTCGCACTCGAAAAGTTACGCGGGCATATCTTTCTCAGTCTGCGTGTGTGCTGCTGTTGCGTCACCTACCCTACTGTCGCATGTCACGTGCTACGTCGCGTGTGCCACGTCATGTGCTAGCTAGGTGACGTGGTACATCTGTGGTTGACATGCTGTTCACGCCTTTGATCGTTTTTTTTATGGAGGATTGAGACCTCGAGTGAAGATGTACTTACGACCGAATCATAAACCAGGAGTAGGTTCAAAGTGTGCAAAACATATTAACTACAGACGTGCCACTTCCTATGCTGGGTGACGGGACATGTCTGTAGTTGACATGTCTTGCACGCATTTCATTGTTTTTTTTTTTTGCTATGAAAGATTAAGAGCTTGTGTGACGGTGTACTTGCGACTGAATCGTAAACCAGGAGTGTGTTCAAACGACTCCAGTGCACTCCGAGCAATCTTTTTAGCAATCTGCACGACCAAACAGCCTTTTGTGAGAAGTGGAGCCAATAAAAAAATGCACAAACAAATCAAGAACACGAAACATAACTCGTACCGATGTGACGTCATCATGCCAAGTTGGCCGTCATGAGTCGGCTTGATTATGTGGATTTATATGGGTAAATACGGGCTCCACGTCACCAGCAGGCTATATGTTAGTTTATGAGGTCTTCAGTGAGGTAGTATAATTAGATTAAAGAGTGAACAGAACGAAAACGTAACAACCGTGTTTACGTGAACGCGACAGTATATATAGAGTTCCGTCACCTATCGGTTCGCACAGGAGAGCACGGCATTTGGCGACGTATTCGAAAACGGCTTTACAGCAGGACGCATCGCGTCGAGTCGAGTTGACCTTCAGTTTCTCCACGACCGGAAGCGCTCGAACTCCAACAGCGCGTTGCGTTACGTTGGAACCACGCTTTCTTTACCCGCTGCGAGGTACCGCCACCGCACGTGCACTCAGCCATAGAGTTTCCTAAAATTGCCTATAGAGGCAACTCTGGCGCTGCGATCGTTCATCGACCATGGGACACAGATTTGCCCAGTAATCGTGCTTGCGGGCGGCGAATTGCCCTTGTGGCTTCGTTGAATGCTGTGTTGTGGTTTGTTTCGAAGGAAAGAACAGTCCCTTTTGAACTTTGCGACCCAGTTTGAAATGGTAAGCCTAAAAGTACAAGGTCGTGAAGCGCAGCCGCTGAACATTGGCTGATTTTTGTTTCGTGAGAAAACAGCTCCAAGCCACACGAACACGCATGGAGCCAGAAGTACGAAGATTAGACGAATCCGTGTACTACCCATCATTCCCATGTTCGCTGAAGCGCCTTGCGTTGCAGCTCCCATAGACACTAGCGCCCGAGTTTCCTCTAGTGTACATTCAGGAAACTTTATTCACTTAACTCGACACGACGTGCCAGGGTGAGGGACGAACGTGACGGGTTCGGTCAATGCGACGTGCTTCTTCTGGCCGCGCTAGCATACATCCGGGTCGTGACGCCGTTGCATTTAAGATCCTGGGTGCTAACCGAACCTCTATTTACCGGAGGGTTCGCGTCGTCACGTGATGCGCAGCTAAGCAGCGCATGCGCATCCGCACACTGAGACAAACTGAGCGCCACCGCTCTCACACTTTTCTCTACGTGTATGCATATACGTGAACTTGTCTCTAGTTTTCGGGGTTGATTATTTATTTGGTTCTTTGCACGAGAAGAGACAAATCTGTTCCTGCCTAAAATCTGCGTTCCCAGCAGATTTTGACGCGTTTGTCGTGGTGACGTCTGCGTCATTGTGTGTCCGTTGTTTGTGTTCTATTGCAATTCCAAAGTTTGTGTGTTTGTTTTGTTACGGCAATGCGCAGGCTGCATGTTCGCAGGAGTTACACCTTTGTTTCGTAGCCGAGTGGTAGAACATCCGCTTGCCACGCAAACGACCCGAGTTCTATTCCCACTTGGACCCAAACAAATTTCTTTCGCAATTCGGTATACGCGTCAAGAGTCGCGACTTGGCGTCCCACCTCTGTGTGTGTTTGTTTCGTTGTTTCGTGCGCGCCGTCGGCAGTCTTGTTTAGCGGCCTGTCCGTCTTCTCTGCGCACAACAGCGTGGTACCCCATGTCACACCGGCAGTTGAAAGACAAAATTAAAAAGTGAAAGCATTACACTGATGCCAAAAGGGTCTTTGTGTCTTTTATTGTTGATTAGGTGATACCATCAAACCTTCTCGCTGTGCTAAGTTACACAAAAGGAAAAGGAAATGTTGTGCCAAATCATCGAGTGGCAGGGCATACCTGTATTATCGGGGTAACGACGTATCTAAAACAAAGCGCGTGCGTTTGTACTAGATTATTAGTTTGTCGGCGCATATATAAATACGTGCATGAAAGAGACGTCGAAACTTTCACGGAAGCGTGTTTACGTAACGTTGTCAGCTGATGGACCAGCCTTCGTCAGAGTGACTCTGGTGGGCTCAAAACTTTCAGTAAAGACGCTTCCGTGAAAGTTTCGTCGTCTCTTTCTTGCATACAATACGTCGGCTACAGCGTGAATGACGTTCAAGAAATCTGATATCTATCTATCTATCTATCTATCTATCTATATATATATATATATATATATATATATATATATATATATATATATATATATATATATATATATATATATATATATATATATATATATATATATATATATATATATATATATATATATATATATATATATATATATATATTCGTTTCAAGAGAAAAGCAGGGGCAAGCATATTACTGCCTATAGTGTAAAAATCCCGACGCTTATTCACGCAGAGTTATTGCGCCAGTATTTTGTATCGAAGAAGAGAGAGAATCAAAGACAACGAAAAGGTAAGCAGGTTAACCAGGCTGCACCTGATTCGCTACCCCCCACTGGAGGAGGGAGATGGGCAATCGAGGTCTGCGATGAGTGAAGGTGGCATGCCCAACGGAAAATTGAGTTTACGAAATTAAATCTTTGAGAATTAGGCCCCGCGATACAAACTGGCCAAGATCATTTAGCTGCAGCTCACACCACAGCGGGAAGCGCCGAAAAAGGGTCAATTACGTGGTATAAGTGAGCATCCTTGCTTGCAGTCGACAAGACACAGACGAACGCACTCAGTTCTTTGGGCATGAACACTACCCGTCATCCATAGAGTTTCTTATAAGTACACTATAGAGAAAATTCTGGTAGTAGTGTCTACGAGAGCTGGAAAGACCGGCGCTTTAGCCAGCATGAGAATAATGGTAGCTCACCAATTTGTCCAATCTTTGTTCTTGCGGCTCCGTTTGGCTTCGTCGGGCGTGAATCCGCTTTGCCACAAGACAAAGTTCAGCAAAGGTTTGGTAGTTACGCTTGGTAACCTTGACCTTTACTGGGGCTCACCATTTCTAATCGGCTCACGGAGGTCGCAACTGTCCGCCTTTTCATTCGACATAACTACAAAACACATCAATAAACAAAGGAACAAGTGCGCTCGAAGCCCACAAGCACGAAGACTAGTCAAATTTGTGTACTACCCATCGTTTGTACGGTGGTTGAATTATAGCGCGAGAGTGCCGTTTAGTTAATTTAGGAAACTCTGTGGTCGTCACAGTGGCGGACGAACAGCCACGAGAAAAGGAGGCGGGATAACGGTGTCACGTTTCACGCTTCAATATTCGAAAGAGCGTGATGGCGTAACTTTCGGTCACCCACACAGGGGGACGCCTACGTGACATGTAGAGAAAGGCCACATACGAGGTCATACCACGGCCGTAAAATTTGAACGAGAGTGAAGGTTTCTTCGTGGCGTTGCCTTATTATAGCGGTTTTGTCTATCGGTGGTTCGCCCTTGCAATAATAGGGTCACAGTAACCTAAGCCGTGCTGCCGCGCGGTTCTCATCATTTTGCCGGCATCACCATTTCCAGAACCAAATAGCGACGTGGAGCTTAGGTCGTGACGTCATATCTGACGTGTCCGCTCAGGTCACGAAACTCCTCCACATGTGACGAGTGCTTCAAGCTCCGTCATTGTGCTCAGATTATACATAAACACTCAACCGAACCTAGCTTGGTTAACCTCCCAGCCTTTCTCCTTCTTTTATCTCTTTCTCTCTTTCTGTTATGAAGTCACAAGCATATGACGTGCATGCGGATCCTATAGACAATTTCAAGGTTGCAAGCGTTGTACCACAAAAAACTTCCGTCCCCCTCATTTACCAGCTCCTAAAGTCGAAAGTGAAAGCACGTTTTGAAGTTATTTTCATGGGTAAGAAAAGTGTCTCTCTTTTTTCACATAAAAGGACTGTGCGCAAAGTACAAAAAGGTGTTTTACCATTTTTATGTAGCTCAAAAGAACATTTATCTGAATATATCTTGCCAAATAAGGGCAGGAAACTAGAAAATTAGCGGGCTATTTTATAAAGCGCTTGTTGTACACCGATGCTATGAAGGCACATCGGTGCAAAAAAACCAGATGTCGTCAAGGGACTGTGTTTGTAAACATTGAAAGGGTCTATAACTTCCTTGGGCGATAATAGACAGATTTAGTCGGGCGTCCGCAGCAGCTCTGCGGGCGCAGTGTGTCATTGAGAGTGGCTAGCAGCCCGTGTCAGCAGAGCTGTTGTGGAAGCCCAACCAAAATTGTCTACAATGGCAAAGGACACCGGTGAAGGTACGTGAGGTGGAGCAAGGTTCCTATAGGGGACAAAAAATTATTCATTCGTTTATATCATGACGCCACAAGGCAGGTCACATTATTTTATAGGCAAAAAAGTCACAGCTTTGCCGCAAAGGCGAAACAATGAACGCGGGAGCTACAAATTGGAAAGTCACGCGCAGAATCGCCAGCAGATCGAAACGTGCCCCGCGTTTCTCACGCACAAATGACGCCCGAAACGTAGTCCCAGGTACACATGAATGCGAATAAGCGTCTCAGTTGTTACTTTGCCGAGTCTGAAAAGCGCACTCTTCTCGCAAACTGCTACTGTGCAACGATTGCAGTTACCTTTGTGCACCCGGTAACTAAAACAGAATCGTTCCGCTTAAAGCCGAAGGCTAGCCAAGACGTACGATCCTCCTCGCCTGCGAGATAAGGGCGCACGAGTGTAGCGTCGAGCCCTTATTCTCCGCGGGGCCAAGTTCGCGTGGGAGACGAGAGCGTGCGCCACCGCGTCCTAAAGATGTTGCTACGCACGCTCATTGCGCCATCTTGCTGGTAATGCTGAAAACACTATAGAGTACCCTCCCCTCTAGATACCCGTCAGCAGCGGTAAGGTAAAGATATAGATCGCTTGCCATTCGAGCATTGAAGGACGTGCTCCTCGGTGGCTTAGTGGTTAACGCCTGGCACTCACGATTCAGAGGGACCCAAGTTCGATTCCACGCGCTGAAGTCTTCTTCCCAGATTTTTTTTCTTTCTTGCATTTTAATATATACAGATACGTATACATATACGGTGAGTGACGTCGACACTGACGCTGGCGGCAAAATCCAGCCGGGAGTGTCGATATAATTAATAGCTATTGCAATAAAAACTAGGCAGTTGAGGCGAAGTTCGTCCTGTTTCCGGATTGAAACCTGTGACTGCCCTTCTTGTCGTGGTGGAGGAACCAGATACGACACCACCTTTTCATTTGCTCTTGCGCTGTATATAATAAATACATCTTGATTGGATCAATCACTTAGGAACAATGATCCAGCAGGCAATCATACAAAGCCTAACATAAGTGCGCTGTTCAATTCCAGTAAAACAGGGAAGTAAAGGAAATTATTCCGATTTGTGTGGAACAGGATAACTGGTAAGGATGGAAATTAACATTGTGTGGTAGTTCGGTATGACGCCAAAGGTTCTTCACAAACATTCTTGATGTGAATATCCCTACAAGGCAAAAGTTCAGAACATGGAGGTTTGGAAGAGAAAAGGACGTCTCGCTTGAGCCAACGTCTCTATGAAGAGCAGCAACTGATGCTGATGCCCTGAACTTGCAGCCTCAGCTCAGCGTAAGGCAGTAACAGCATGCCATGTCTCCTTCAAGAAGACCTGTCACGGTCATATCTTCAAAGGCATGTCACAGTCATGTCCTTGAGGACACGTGTAATGTTCATCTCTTTAGAAAGATGTATCATGGTCATTTATTCAGAGACGTTCATAAGAAGACGTGTCCATCAGAAGACGTGTCATGTTTATGTCTTCAAGAAGGTATGTCTCTGTCATGTCTTCAGGACGACATGTCATTTCCATGTCTTTAAGAAGAGGTGCCATTTTCATGTTTTCAAGACATGTCATTGTCATGTCTTTGAGAATACATGTCATATTGTTGTCTTAAAAAATGTCATGTTGATGTCTTTAAGAAGACATGTCATGGTCATGCCATCTTCAAGGCTGCCTCGAAGAAGACATGACCATTTTCCAAAGCGGTTACTTGGGTGACACCTTCTCTTCGAATATTTTTCTTCCTTTCAGAGGAATAGTGCTGCCAATGAAGTGAATACTCAAAGCAATGGCCCACACGAATAGGAGGAATAGTCATAGGTATTCAAGGTTGTAACACGAATCCAACCTAAGGCTATCCGCGTTTTCCTTTCGTACAATAATCTTTATATACGGATATATTAAAGGAGAGACGAGGCACAAGGTACCATGCAGCAGCTTGAGGAACCGGACTGACGATTAAAAAATGTATGTACATAAGAAAACTAAATTTCGAGGTTTTAGTCTCACACCCTCCATCAAAATTAGCGGTGCTGATGCGAAATAATACTACTACTATTGTTATCATTTAGCGAAACGTCTCACCCATATGGCTAACGCATGCACTTGAGCAAAGACAAAGGTGCATTAGTATATAGGGAAGCAAGAATTATTTAGGGTAGTTCTAGGTACTGCACACACAAATGGGGTCCACAGAAGAATAATAAGAAGCAGGTACACTGAACAACGCCAGATGAGAACAAAAGAACGCAACAAGGCCGTGCGGCTTTGGGCATGAGGAGAAACTTCATTCAACTATATTTAACGCTTCCTAGTAAAGAGGGAGTCACTCTGAACACACTTGCAGGGTAACATGCACGGAATACTTTCGTAGTTCACTGAGCCTTTAAGAAGCCCAGGAACAAACATGCGTAAATGTGCAAAAGAAGCACTGCGCATGTCTCTTTATTATACAGAACAC